TACTGGCAAAGTTTAACAAGGTCTATTAAATCAGTTCATTAAAAATAAACTCTCTTTCCACTTCAAGCTGTTTCTTTTCAATTCACTCCCCTCGCTTTCTTGTTATGGCTTTTTTTATTCGTTTCTTATTGGATTACTTTACGGCTTTGGTTGGCCAATTGTCAATTAAGCAATTTGCGCATTTTTATTTCACACTCACAGAACTTTCGCCTTTACTTGTTTATAGCACCGAAAAAAAAATATATAAAAATACTCAGATGGCCGCGACTGATGAAAGTAATTAAAATTGCATTTTCCAGTGGTTTTCGAAGTTTTCTATTTATTTTTCTTTTTTTTCCGAAAGGCAATGGGCGCGTTCAAGGGAGAATTTCAAACAGGCAACGACGATCGCCGACGAGAAGCGCCAGGATTTAAAAGGAGCAACGAGGACGAGCGACGCGATTTGCGCTCGCGCCTTTTCCGTGCGACTTCGGCGGTGCGACTTCAGCAGCTGGCGTTTTGGGTAGAACTGAGCGAAGACGATGCGGAAAATCGGGAAAATGGCACACGCACATGCCGCCAGTTTCCATTCGACATTTTCCGAATTATCGCAGCAGCCACACGCTGGCGAGCTTTCAAAACATCCGCATCAAAGCTGCCGCCAGTGTGTGGCACCCAAGCTTTTCTCAGTCACGTGGAAAACCATAAGGCAGCGGCAAAAAAAATGCGGAAAGCGGCGAGCAAAACAAAATTGCCGAAAGCAAAATAAAAGCGAAATTAAAGACATTGGGTTATCATAAAAATGTTAGGAAAATTACCAACATTTTCCTAACATTTTTGAGAAATACGAAAGAATCGGTATCTCAGAGTTTTATTTTTAAAAGAGTAAAACTATATGCACATCTACCCATGAAACTTTAAAAAATCACCCAAATTGGAAAACAAATATAAAAACAAAATGATCACAAAGTGTATAACAATCAACCAAATGGGAAACAAAACAAACTGAATTCCCAGCAATCATTTCATATCGATTATCAAAGGTTTCTGGTATTAATCCCAGATAAATAGTATAAAAAATATGTGAATTTACATTTAATTTTTTTTTACATTATTTTATTGTAAAATTTAATTTATAATCCACTTTAATATAAAATGTATACGTATACAATAACAACGAAAACTTCCGTTAAAGAGTACGACGACAGAACGTGTCTAATGAGGTCGGCTTATCGTGACCCTACTTTTAAAGTTTTTGCCCTCCTGCATTTCTTTTTAAAGTTTCGACCGCGTCAAGTCAGCGAATGCGATGAATGAAGGATGCAGACGATGGACATTTAAAAAAAAAAAGCATTTTGAAAACTTTGTTGAGTACAAAACGTCACACTTTTGGTGTGCCTTCAGAACTCCCTTTATTTAAGAAATTTATTTTTATTGAAAAACAATGGCTTGCACGAGAAGTAACATAACATTTTTTTTTGATTTCATCTATTCCCTGTAGTTATATAATTATTTAGTTAACTGAAACTTTTATTGTTATATTTAAATCTACACAAACCTTTTTTTTACAAAATTTGGGACTATTCGGACTCATACTGAAGAGTTTGTTCTAAAATATGTTCCGTTAAATAATGCTTTTACTAATCTAAACTGTTAGTGATGCAATTTGTTTGTAAATTTGATTTTGTAAGCTGCAATCATTGGGTTAATTAATTACACCGTTTAGGTTTCTTATACCTTGGTGGAATAATAAAGTCGATTACCACCCATTTCCCCATCGCATACGTGTCCCTATTTGTGTGTGTTTTTTGGGACCGTGTCAGAGGAATGAATAATGTGCACCTGGGCGAAAGAAGGGCGTGCTTGGAAGATGGGATCTGAGCCGAGGGCTAACCAAAGCCGTTGATCAACCGCCGCTGTTTGTTTGTTTGTTTGGCTTGACTTCGCGTCCATTTAGCATATTTCATGGTCCTGCGTTCTGCTTTCTGCGTTTTGCACCATGAAAAATCCTTTATGGCAAGTGAATGGAATAAGCAAGCAGCCGAGGCCAGTTGAATGAAAGTCATTGCCTACATAAACAAAAAATACGAAATGCTTTCCGCTCGCTTGGCTTTGCCAAGTTTTTCTTTTCAACTAATGTCTAATAAGCAATTTCCCCCTTTGTTTTTTGCTGTCAATTGAAAGATTTTTTACAAATGATGCTGGCCACGTTTTTTTTTGGGCGAAGTAACTGGTATCTGGGTAAAAAGCAAATACACAGTCACGTGAAAAGTGAAAACTCAGCAACAGGCCCCTGGCCAAAAGTCGAAAAAGTCTAGGGGGTCATAAATTTTGTTTTGCCCAACAGCTTTTCAATGCCATTTTTCGAATGCAGTGAAAAACCACACGCACAACGCTGTGCAACGCTGCGTATGCTTAACACTCCAAAGCGAAATGATTTATGTGCTGCACAAGAAACACAAAAAAAGGAACTAGGGAGCATGAAAGAGAAAGTCGGAAATGGAAAATAGGAGCGGTAAACTTGGTGTTTTGAATATTTTTAGCTTTTCTTGAGGAACTTAAGCTCCTTAAAGCTTCTCCGGTTCTTTAAGTGGATTATAGCTTTTCGGCCCGAATTTGATTTAATTGAAAAGACTTTTAAGCTTTAAGCAATGCAACTTTTGTAAACTTAAAGCTCGCTTTTAAGGATATCAGCTTTTAGACTTCAACTGCAGCTTTTATTAAAAAATAGTCGGCAAGTATAGCCGTTGAATTAAAATTTTAAAAAAATTGAGGAATTATTATTCTATTGTGGATTTTTGGCTATTTATTTGTTCATTTGTTTTTCCAACAAACCCCTGCGAAACTATGGTCAACAGTTAGAACGTTATGACTCTTTAAACATGTTATTTATGTTGCCAAAAGCGTCTGAAAAACTCTGACAAAGTAACAACAAAAAAACTTGTTTGACAAACTTTTTTATTCCACAAACCCAAGTTTGAACAATTTGTTTTTAGAACACAAACCTGAAAAGTAAAAACCCTGGGAAGTAATGGAAGTAATAATGTTGAAATGCCCTTCATCGTTGAGTTTTCAATTAATTATCCTTACGAGCTTATTTAACTTAAATCCAAATAAATACATCAATAATTTAAAAAAAGTTCTTTTGAATGAATGTCATGAAAACGCGATGTCTTGCTTTTTATTACCCATTTTCTAACAGTATAAACTTTTGATTAATTTTGTAGTTCCGAACGCCTGAAACAAATCATCAGATGTTGATTCCCCCACTTTTCACTGCTAATTGCCCTCGCAAGTATGAGGGTTGGCCATTTCAAATTAAAGTTTTAATGTCACTGAACTATAGCTCCCCACTGGTGTGCGTTTCCGTGGTCGTGTTGTCGTTTCAGGAAAAAGCATCAACTCCCCAACGACGACTGCCACCAACTGCAGCAGTTTAATTGCAAATTGCAGGGAACTCGTCAAGTTGGGCAATTACAAAATGAAGGGGCGGGCGAGCGGACTTAAATCAAATTTCTGGCGGGAAGAATGGGTAAAGCTTACACACAGAGAATTATCTGCCCTAAAAAAGGCAATATATGTACAGAAATCTCAAAGCTATAATAAGCAAATATCTTTCCATATTGTTTAAATAGGTAAAATAAAGAAATAATAATAACAATAATAATACTTAAAGTAATACTTAAAATGCAGTCTTAAAATATATAGTTAAAAAAATGAAATTATATTTTAAATATCTAAAAGTTAGCGAACATAGTTTATGATATTTTATTCAATACAATACAAAATATTTCAAACGACAAGGATGAGGAGATACAAATCTGTACCTTTTTTGTAAGCCATATTTTCTAAAACTAACACATGAACTTAACCGCAAATATTTTCTTCAGTGCATGTATGTTTTTATCATTCTGCTCGGGCATAAAAACATTTTGGGGGTGCAGCTTGTTGCACTCTCACTGGGTGGTGTATTTTCCATGAGCAGCCCCCTCCACACAGGGTATCCCATAACTATCCCCACTTTTACCACCACCTGCAGCTGCACCATCATCGTCTTCATCATCGGGCACTTGTCTGCCGCTCTTGTGTCGCGTTTCTATCTCAATCTCTATTTCTATTTCTGTTTCTATTTCCATCCGCGCCGGCATCCTTTCCATCCTTTCCATCCTTTGGCAGCTTCCGCAACGCTGACGCACAACGGAGTGTTATTATGCACTGCTATCGATTGCTAAGAATTTGTCATTGCTTGAGGTTTTGCTTTTATATTTTTCACAAAACAGACTTTTGTCTCACGACATTCATATATTTTTCTATAAATATTTTAAAATTATAGACTTAGTTGCGTATTTTGTTCAGTGCATTACAGGTGGTTTTGCTTTTATATTTTTCACAAACAGATATATTTTTCATTTAATATTTTAAAATTAAAGCTGCGTATTTTCTTCAGTGCATTACAAGGTGGTTCCAGGGGACTGGTAAGCGTCTTACTTTCCGCTTGCGTAGGTGTTTCGCTCGTGGCTATCTTCTGGCCTTAGTTTGCCATTTTTCTTTATCTTTTGTGAGCGCTGATGAATTCGTTAGAGGCAACCCACGACACCACCACCCCCCGGCAGCCACCCATGGTTGCACCTTTGGGGCAATCGTGCTCAGGTTGTAAACAACAGTCGGGGATAAAACGAATGGCAACAAAAACCGCAGCAAGTGAACATTTCAGAGTCGCATCCCTGACGTCAAAAGCAGCAGCCGGAAAGTGTGGGCCAATCAGGGAAAACTGAAGAAAATCATCAGGAGTTCAAGCCACCACAAGCCGCAGAATTGCAAACTGGTGACATTCCGGAAGGGAAGCCACAAGAGCCCGTCGAATCCATGGCTTGCCATCGATTAACATGGCAGCCGTAACCGGAAGCATGTTTATGGCAACCACAAACAAACTATTAAAGTCCGAAGAAATTATGTTTAATGTGCAAATGACAGATTGGAGTTAGACACTCCTCATAAGCATTGAGCATTTTCAATTCACAATTCACATCCATATAGAACTGCCTTAAAAGTCTCCGATTTCAGAACTACACAACATGGCCACGATAATAAAAATGATCATTGTCTTCTGGCTGTTTGAACACTTCCATTTGGGACAAGTGTATCACATCGAGAGTTCTGGTGTGGGCGTGGGGCACCTCAGGCCCGGGTCGTTCAATCAGAAGAAACAAAGTAGTTGGGCCATGGTGGAGTTCCAGGAACATGGCCCGTCCCAGTGGCAGTCGCAATCGGGCATCTGTTCGGCCGAGAACGTTCACGATGTGAGATATGAAAAGAGCGGTGGCTCCAAGACTACCAAAAAAATTGTCAAGGATGAGAACGACGACGAGAGTGCCGATCCTGCGGCCATTGGCCAAAACGGAGGCAATCAGGATGGCAATAAAAAGGTCTTTGTGGGCAGAATCTCCTGTTTGCTTGGCGCTATCCAGAAGCACACCAATGCCATGACCGATAACTTAAAGATCCTGCAATCGCGCTTGTGCAAGGTCAAGGGCCAGGGCAAGGGTAAGGTCAAGGGCAAGATCAAGGGCAAGACCAATGGCAAGGGCACGGTCAAGTCCAAGGGCAAGGTCAAGGGTAAGGGCAACGGCAAGGGTAAGAGCAAGTCCCAGGAAAAGAGCAAGTCCAAGTCACCAGGCAGCACTTGCGGAAAAAGCACCATTAACCCCCTGCTCTCGGGACATCCCACGGCGAAGTGCTCACAGAAACCGAAGACCTTTGCGGACCAAAAGCAGTGTACTCTGGATGACACTGCCACCGAAAAGAGATTGAAGACATTGGGCTCCAACACCGTCCGTGGCGATCGACGTAAGCCCGTTTCCCCCCTATTGCGACTCATCCACGGTCCAGCCCTTCGACAAACGCACTTGAAGAGCCGCCAGGGCATCACTTTTTCGGCGGATAAAAGTCAGTGGCAGTACGAGGAGTACGATGCCAAATTGAGGAGTCTGATGGCCAATCGGGATGCCATCGACAGGAGCGTGGCGAAGCTGATGGGTCCACGGCAGAAGGGAAGCATATAACTTCTTAATTTTACTTTATAACGTTACTATACTCGAAAGGCGATCAAATAAAGATTTCGTAATAAAACGAAATCGTACAAAGCTGATCAAACAAGTAACTAGTTGAAGATCTGTTGAAAAGCAAGTGGTATAATAAAAAACTACATACGCTCTATACATTGTTTTCAAACTTTTAAGAAAAAAAAAACATATCCAAAAAACTCAAAAATAAGTAATCTTGGTAGTAAAGCCCATTCCTGTCAACTGATTAACTCGACCTTGTTCAATCAACTGTAATCATCGTTCTGTCAAGTTAAACAAAATGACTTCCATGTCTCTGCTGATAACTATTTACGTTTCCATGGTGATTGGCGGCATCTGCAATGTCGATGGAAGACACTGTTCCAATAGACGAGAGTTCTTCAATTACGACGATGAAAGAAGCGTCTTTGATGACAAGCCGGCTTTCAAGAATTTAGACGGGGACAAGTACTACGAGGATTTGCAATTCGGAATCCACTGGCAACCGCAATACGGCAATGATGAAGATCCCATGGATGAGCCACTGGACGCCGATGACTTGGATCCAATGGACCTGGACAATGGCTTCATCGGGAGGAAGAGACGTGCGAAATCGAGCCAACACCGGGTCCATGTAGGCCAAGAAAAACGAAAGAAATTGAGGCAAGCTAGACAGATCGATTTTGACGAGGAGGACGAACATCAGCATTAGGAAACCAATAGTACTTAAACTCCAATACACACAGTTCCCACAAAAATCTTGTATTGTTTCGACGACCTTTTTCATTTCTCTCGATAAATATTTTTATTGTTCACACAAATACACTTTAACACCGCACAATTTGTTTTAATAGTTATTGGGGTAGGTCCAGAATGAAAAGGAATAATTTTAATAGGAAAATTTCACTAGTAAAAATAAAGTCATATTCCAAATATTATACACTCAATTTAAAAAAATTTCCATCCATTACAGTTTAAGTAATTTTAAAAATGCGAGTATAATTTCTTTTTTATACTTTGTTTTACTATTTTCGGAATTGAATTATATTTAATTATTTTATTTAATTATTGCAATTAATATTTTATAAATAAAGGTATAACTTTAATCACAAATATTTAACAGGAGCTTAAGAATGTTCCAAAAAGAAGAAAATAAGTAGACAACTAACGAACGAGCTTATATATATTTCAATAAAAAAGTGAACAAATTTCTAAAATATTTATTAAAAAAAATATAAAACTATTTATTGCTAATTTTTTTTATTTTTTTTTCGAGCTTAAATTGTTTTTAACAGGGAATTTTCAGGAATTTTGCTTTAACTTAAAGACAAAATGTGTGTTCATATGCGGGGAAACATTCAATTTGTTGCTTAACTCTCTGCCACATCATCGAATCGAATCAACTTTGACTGATTTTCCTGTTGAGTCAGCTGGAAGTTTTCCCCTTTTTCCCGCCCGATTTTCCTCCCTGTTCTTTTGTGCCGCCGATTGTTGAATGTCGAACAAAATCGGAGTTGGGAAACTTTGGCGGAGGTGTCAGAGTCAGTCAATCATTCAGTGCACCCGGCTGCAGTCCCTTACTTCACCGATTTCTGGCTGAGTTCTGTCAAATTAGTGCAGCCTATTTCAGTTGTCACAACTTGCCCTATTCCTGCCACGCCCTTTTTATCGCCTCCGCCCACCAAGGGTGTCGGAGTGAGAATGCTGGGAAATTGTTTCAGCTTGTAAGTGATTTTTGAAACGAGGAAAGCGAAAAAGGTTTAATAGGCGCCTTAAACACCCTTTAAAATTAAACATTTTTAAATTATTTTTAATATGATTTAACATTTTGAGCGAACTCAAAAAAAGATTTTGAAATACAATATGTAGCAAAAGTTTAAAGAAAATAAATATTGTAAATTTTTAATGACAGAAATGAAAAGTATGTACGGACCTTTATAAAGAGTAATTTTCAACATTCAGCGAACTTGTCTCTCTGCTTGTGTGTGTGTGTGTGTGTGTGTCTTGCCTTGCGAATGTGTGCGTGGGCGTGTGGCATGTGTGAGAGGTTGTGGGATTTCTTATTTGCCAACCGCTTGTCGCTCGAGTTGCCTCAAAATGGCTCAAAGCAATTTTCAAATTGTTTTCACAATCACAACGAAATCGATTTGCAAATATACAAAGCCCCTCCGTACCGAAAATCCACAACAAGTGCCACGCCCTTTTCGGGCCAGCCTGAACATGTCCTGCAGTTGATGTTCTTCGTAGCTACAATTATGTCCGGAGCGTAGTTAAAATGTTTATGGCCTTCTACGCCAAAGATACGCAAGATTTGTTCCTCGGATTTTCGGCGATTTATTTCCGCTGATAAAGTGCGATTTGAAAAGCGATTTACACAAACAAATCTCTCCTTTGTCCGCCCAGCAACTGATTGGTTTTATGGCTATGTCAATTGTTTTGTCGCCTTTTCTTTCTTTGATTTCTTTTTCTGTTTTTCTGCACATTTTTATGAGAGGCTTTATGCCGTACGCTGCTTGCCTTTTTTTCGGGCGTTTTTCTTCTTCGGCGGCATGGGTATAATAACTTATCGAGGGCTCAACGCTTGGCTGGCTAAACATCTACAATTTTCCTGTCGGTTTTTATTAAATTTTGGCGCCCGCGACGTTTAATAAACGAGAAATAGCTGGCATAGCATCGCGCCACATGGCGTATACTTGATGTGTCAAGCGCGGGCAGAGAAGCGAGCGAATTGCGAGAACCGCAGCTTAAATGCCAGTTAAAAGAGGAACGCAGGAAGCTATGTGGGCCATGTCGTCCCAAACTGAATTATGAATGAACAGAAAGGTGGAAAAAAGCGCCAGCTGCAGCCTCAAAAACTAAGAGAAAAATTTAAAGAAAAATTTACATGTGTGCAAGTGTTATTTCTTAAGAAAATTGGTTTGCCAATTATTTACCGAATACTAAGGTATTCATGGTAGGCCAAAAATCTTGCAAACTTAAAAGTCTTATGGCAGATTATTCTTATAACTTAAAGAGAAAGAAATAATCTGTAATTTGTTCTGTATTTTCATCACTTATTTATTTTTTTTATTTTTTTTTATCTTTTATTAAGACTTTAACGCATTTTCTTTTAATATTTAATAACTATTAGTTACTTTTCAATTTCTACTACATCAAAAAATATTTATTTGTTATTGAGTATTTTTTTGTGACTTTTGTTAAACTACAAAAGCCATGAATTTTGTAAAAAAAAAATAAAATAAAATAAAATAAAATAAAGGCAGCATTTGATTTTGTTATCTACTAAATTTAAGAATTATCTGTATTTTTGAACAGTGCAGAATCAGAATCCTTGCCTGCCTTGCACTTTGCACTCGACTCGGCAAGGTCAAAAGGAGGAAGGGTGGTGGGTGGGTGCAGAGGCTTGGGTGGGTTACAAAATATGTGGGGGTGTGGATGCGGTGGTCCTCGTTTGCTCCTGCTCTGAACTTGAACTTTGTCAGACCAAAAACAGATGCTCGCTGTCTGCTAAGTCGGCTTTAATTATGGCAGACAACACTTTGCACGCTCCTTGCAGGGAAAACAGGGTGTTGGAAAATAGGGCGGGGGGTCACAAAAAAAAAAGAGGGAGGGGAGGCTAAAAAAAATATATATATAGGTCTTCATTTACCGCCGTGCAATTAGAGGCGAGGCTACAAATTCTTCACACGCGCCGCACATAAATTCGCTGGCCAAGAAAGAGACACACGCACAAACACACAGGACCAGTGAAAGAGACAGCGGCAGGAGGAGACCCCCGCTGGTGAAAGAGATGGAAACAGTGAGACAGAAAGAGAGAGAAAGAAAGCTGGCGACAAGAATTCCTCGCATTCTGAGCCATATTTTCCGCTATTTATTTAAGGCCAAAACTTTTCCCCTCTCTTGAACAACAAGTGAAATATGATGCCTACGCCTTCGCGCCTTACCTTTGGAAAAATAGAACCAACCCACCCCCAATTTGCCATATATATGCGGGCCGACATAATCATATTCATGACAATATAATGGCATCGTTAGATAGGCACAGAAAAGTCGCTCGCCTGGAAGTCCTAGGCAACCGCAGAAGTCGCTTTCATTTCATTTTTTTTTCGCCACTCTGCGCCAACGGCTGTCCATTAGCCAAGTCAGCGGGTCCGCCAAAAGTCGGTCTATGGGGGGCGGGGGATGGCATACCTTTACCCACAGAAGCAAATTCATAAATTCAGCAGGCACATTGAGCCTGTAAAGTTTTCCGGTGCTTCCGCACAGGTCTCTTAACAATTTTATTACCACCCCATTTTGGCGTACTTAATAATTGTAAACAATAACGACAGGAATGGAAAAGAATGGCTATTATTATGAATCAAATCGAGAAAGGAAGTTTGAAGTAGTACTTGATAATTTGATATGATACCATAAGAATAATTCACTTTCACGGTGAATCTAATAAAACAATTTCCTTGACGGTAAAAGCTTAATAAAAATCAACCTAAATATATATTCGGATTATTTGACTTTATTTAAAGTAGAGATTTTCAATGCCCACACTTTAATCATTTCCTTTGCCTACGATTTCTCCACACATCCCAAGCGCTTAAAATATTAATAATGAAAAATATTTCGTATACTTACCGAATGCTGCTAGATGAATTTTTTCATTATTTTTTTTTCAAACATTTTTTTTTTGTTATTTTGTGGGGGTATTTTTGGTTTTAAATTTTTTTTTGTGGTGACACATATACACATAAGTACATACATATATACATACATATATATATTTCGGGCGTGTGTGTGAGTGTTGTGGGTGTGTGTGCGTGTTTTCGAGGGGTTGGCGGGGGGGAGTAGAAGAGAAAAAGAAAAAAAATATATAAATTCTTTCATATATATATATATATATAAATATTTATCAAATGATTGCACATTTAACATGATGAGATTTATTCTTTATTTTCATTTTGTGGGAATTTCGGGAAACATGAGACAGGACTTTGCGTTAGTGTGCGTGTGCGTGTGTAGATGGCATGCAGGAAGCTAGAAAGAGGCAGACTATGGTCTGAAAAATACACTAAAACAACAAACAGCGAAGGGAAATTTCTAGGACTCACCTGGGGGTCAAAAGTCACCGGCAGAGAGGAAATCTAATAAAACGAAAAAGCTTTTGACAGGCAATCAGGGGTTGCCACTGGCAGCTGTTAAACGCCGACATCTATTGATTTTGACAATAAAATATGCGTTCTAAAAGCGAGATTTGCACCCTTTTGCTGTTTCAAAAAACCAACCAAAACAACATAGAAAGTTAACGTCGGCAAACCGATGTTTTTGTACCCTAACCAAAAGCTTAATTCTTCTTTTTTCAGATTTCATTTCTATAGATTTGGTCTGATTTAAATTTGTGATAATATCGTTTGGTTTACAGACAGATCAAGAGTATATATAGAGACTATATGTCTGCGTTACAAGCTTCTGGTCAAAAGTGCAATACCCGTCGAAAGCTTATACAAACAAAAAGGGGTGAAGAACCCGAAACTTTATTCGATTGTTTGGCCCTCTGTTTCTGTTTCTGTTTCAGTTTCATTTTCAGTTTCATTTTCATTTTCCGTCTCAGTTCGCCTGTTGCCAACCAAACCGAATGTCACGTTTCGTTTTTATTTCAATTTGCAATGCGAGCTGGGAGGGCCCCACAAATCTGATTTTGAACTCAATCAAGCGTGTCGGGCCTCAGCTAACAGTTACTGCTACGCCACGCCCCCTTGTACGCCCCCACCCTCCCGCACGTTGTGACCAGCGGAAAACCACAGTGTTGCAGGTTAGTTGCGAAGTAGTTGAACAAAGATGCAAGAAACATATAAATAATTTCTTTTTGAATATGCAATCAAACAAAAAAAGTAAACAAAATCAAGAAATAAATATAAATGAATTATTTGATAAACTTGATAATTAGTAAATAAATAATAATATGTAATAAATTTTGTAAAGAAAAATAAGCATTCTTTTTCGAAAAATAAGAATCAATTATTTGTTTTCAATTAAATAACAGAGTTCTTGTACATTTTTGACTCAACACTATACATTTTCAAATTTAAGTCGTGCGAAAGATATGTAAGCGGTTTTTCTATTTTATTTTTTAAAATGTGTGTTTTTAATTCAATAACTGAATACGCAGCATTTTAACTTATATTTAACAACAAATAACAGCCGTAATTGGCAATTTCGCTACACTGTGGCCGTGATTTAATGCATCGGCATGCGTTCATGTCCCTGACAATGGCTTTGACTGGACTCTCTGTCCACTGCCTGTGGACACAACGTGCAGTGCACTTGATTCGATTAACGCCGTCCGGTTGTGATACGATTCCCGATTCCATTTACAATTGGCAGCCCTTTGGGTGGCCCCAACAAATATGCATTCATCATCCAGCCAACTCAATCATTCATGTGCATCTCGTATATGTTGGATACTCAGCTCAGTGCGGTCACATTTTCGCTCCAAGGGCCATTGGTTAGTTTTGTGGGGCGACCTTGCCACCCACATTGCAAATCAATTTGGCAAATGGCACTGCACATATAATACATTCCATATAATCCATGGCCAATATTGTGAATCGGAAATCATTGCGCTTCGATTAAAACTGTTTGCTCATCTTGTAAACATTTCTATAACACGCTTTTTGCGGTGCACTGGTTACTGGCGATGGGATGGGGGAAAATGTGTGGCTGCCTGTCGATGCACAAGATTGCAGATTTTCGATTTCCTTCACCGACACACTCACACATTCAGGAAACCACATGAGCGCACAGGCGAAATCGTTTTCCTTTTAATATTTTCCCATTTGCTCGATTCACAAGAAATGTGTGGTCTGTCGTGGGAAGAGCTTAAAACACTCTTAAAATATACTAATAATTCCCATAAGTGTTTCGATTGGTTTTTGTATTTCGGTTTTAAATTGGCTTTCCTTATTGTTATTGTTTGAATTTATTATTAATATTAAATAAGCAACAGCTTAAAAATGCTGTTATTTACTCTATAACTTTTATTATGGGTTGCTGGCACAATTCAATTAAAGTAACTATTAAACATTATTAATACAAAACACCATTTTATAAAATGTTTATTTGATTGCCAGGCTTTAAGTATCAAGTAGATTCCATAGAATTTATGCAATTATTGTGCAAACTTGTATGAATAGCTGGCAAATCCTGGAAATTCCAAAGCTCCATGACAAAGTGAGTTCCCGATCAATGAAAGCCGCTTAGCAAAAGATGGGGAGAATGCAACTGCATCGTATTTTTTATCATCCTTCGTTGGAATCGAAAAACCCCCTCCTTTCCACGACACATGTTCTTTTTGGTCTTTTATGGCACATAATCAAATGGTTGGATTTGGCCGTTTAATGAGCTTGTACCACATCAACTGAGGCGAACACACACACACTAACTAAATGCATTATACGGAAGACATAAAAAATATCAAATTACCACTGAATGGCAAACTAAAAGAGTCGTGTCGACTGAGGGTTTTCTGAGCTGGGGGTGCTAATCCCCTTTCGCTATGCAGTTAAATTTATGTCCGCATTTTATTGGTTCTAAAAAATGAATGGAAAATGTCGGCGGGAAATGGGGAAAAGCAAAATATGCACATCAAATTGGGAGATGGGCAATGAGATATGAGCAAGAGTCCAGGCCAGAGCTTTATTTTTAATTTGATTGAATTCCGTTTCGTTGAGGTTTTAATTAAAATGGGAAGCAGTAAAACCCGAGCTAATTGCAGTTGCTGTTTGGCTGAAGCCACTAAACAATTTTGGAATATTCATAAAATGTTTTAAATTAGCCCTTTTGGGGCCTACCAGTATATCATATTTTTTGATTATTTAATTGTATCATATTCTGCACAAATATTGAAATATTGTACAAAATATAAAATTTGGTTCATCTTGTGATTTTTAAATATAATTATTTAACTTTATTCATTTATAAAATCAATATTTTATTTTGCATTGTATTCTTTAAAAAACTTAAAAAAAAAAGTTACATATGGGAACAATTAATTTTTTTTTGCATTTCTCATTTAAATACATAAATCAAGGACTAGCAGAAGACTCCAAGCGAGAACGTTATTTATAATTTGATTGAATTTTGTTTCGTTGGCTTTTTAATTAAAAAGGGAAATGCAATAAAGCCCGACTAGCACTTAGTTTCAGTTGTTTTGTGGCTTTTCCTCCGCAATTTATTTGCTCGCTTACTAACTTTCTGCAGTTGTGGAAAAGCTAAAATGGAAATTGTGTGCATTGTGTTGAGGGCGGCAGGCGGCAAAACTGAGAATTCGGAAAGCAGGGAACAAGAGCCAGCCGCTTAATTAACATTGGGACCAAGTTGGTGCCGAGTTGGCCACATCAAAGCGGAAAACTCTCGTTATCAGTTGAGGTCTTGGTCGAATCGACACAAAGTTGGCAAGAGTAAAATGATATTTTTGCCCATTTTAGCTAGCAGAGAGTTTTGTCAATTGCCGAAAAGACAAGGGAAAAATAAATTTGCCGTTGGTTAAAGCTCCTGATTTCAATTAAAATTTTCCTCGAATCTTTCAGTCGTTCGAATACGGTAAATACGGTAAATAAAGATGATATTTAAAGTACATACAAAATGATTGGTTCGTAGAAACAATTTGTAAGCCATTCCCACATCATGATTAATTCGAGTAAAGAAGCTCAGCTCGAAAAGGTCTATAAACATAATTTATAAAAACGCAAAATAATTCTGTGAAAATGTGGTTTGGCAAAAGCCACAAGCTATCGCATATTGTCAAATTAAAATCAGATTTATTCATTAGCATGTTCAACCGAATTAGTACTACTATTTTACCTTTGTCTCATTTGTGGTCACCTCACTTTCCTCGACGATGTTGTGAATGTTCAGAACCATTTTGTATTTGCCCTAATTTCATTCGACATTGGTAATTTGATTTAGTTGTAACGTTTGGCCGGATGAAATTGGATGAGAGTGTAAAGCTTTAACCAAGCCGGTCGAAAGGCAACTAACTGGCCAAAAACGCAGTTCATTCAAATAAATAGCAGATATATAAATGTATATCCATCGATACACCTCCGAAATATGTATAAGCGGAAAAAAAGAGTTAGATGGGGAAATACTTACGCTTTCAGTGGGAAACTTAAGCCTAGGCTAAAATGGCTAAAAGTAACCAATGTATTTGTTATATATGTATATATAGGAGAAAGTGAGAGAGCTTGCAACTACTTTTTAGCTAATGACAAAAATTGTGTGAGCAGAGCAAAATAGCAGAGGAAGTTTTTTGTTATATATTTTGTATTGTTGATTGTTGACGCCCACTAAAGCCGTTCCAACTAGTCAAAGTTTTCGAGAGGTAAAGTGTAAACGGAAAAAAATAGAATAGTGGAAAACGAAAGCCAAGCCAAATATTTGTCTAGCTAAAATGCAAAAGGCAATGAAAGTTACGCGCTTCAGTTTGGTTTGCCTTCATTCTTTTCATTTCATTTTATACCCTTGCAGATTTTACTCAAGCCGATCATTCTTTAAAATTTAAAATTGAGCAAATTGATTTATTTAAATTTAAACGTAGATAAGCTAAGATTGCATACCTTTTTTATCTTATATTTTATTTTTTAGAATCTTTTTTGTTATTTTTAAAGTTCTCTTTAACATGCATACTTATTAACGCTTTATAAATTTTCTTTGGTTTTAAAAATACTAATAGACTATAAGAACTTAATTCCTTAGTCTTGACATTTACATTTGCATTTATTTATTAATTACTATTTTATTTAAAAATTTAACTAAACAAAAAAAACTGCTTCCAAAACGTTTGCTTAATATTATTTTTATGTTAATTTTGGGCTGAATTTTCGTTGGTATATTTTTCCGCAAGGGTATTGAGAAATACGAGTTCTTTGGTTTTCGGTAGTTGGTTTATCTTTTGCTGTTGGAGTGAACATCACGCACTTTGCTACTTAGTGAGGGGAAAATAGTCAATGTTTTTGTATGTGGTGGTTTTTCTGTTTGTTCGGATGAGGGGCTGTGGGTGGTGATTCATGGGCGATTGGGAATTCCCGATTTTCGGGGAGACATTACTCACCCCAATCCTGCCGAGCAGCAGGGCGTCCATTTCGCCACCGTTTTGGGCCACCGGAACTGTGGTTATCACCGATATGGTCGGCTCCTGCTGTCCACTCAAATCGACCGACATGCCGCTGCTTTTATTCAACCACTATATATTTCCCGATCGGCGTACTTGTGCCGAAGTATTATTGGCTGTTATTATGTTACGACTAGTGTTATTATTGTTATTATTCACTTGGTGCTCAGTCGTCGTTTTGGCAAACCGGAGAACAGAAGCTGCAGCAGAAATCCATGAACGAATGAAACCTTTAATTGAATTACTAATTGCTAGTGACAGCTCAGAGGAGAAAAAGTGAATCAAAGCCCAAGTGGAATATTCAACTATTAATTGGCATTGGCGCGCATGCTGCACAAAAGTTGCCAACAACAATTAGGAAAAACTGACACGAGCGCAAAGAATATGATTTTATGGTCAACTTTTGTGGCAACAATGGGAGAAAATTCTACCAGACCAAGTTGATGGACAAAGTTGCTACAGAAAATGATATCATTCTCATTGACCTTAGCTGGGATGCACTTACTGCCCAAAGTTTTATCCATAACATTATTTTACCTTTATCAAGTGCTTGAAATTGCTATATTGTAGGATAGTTTTTCAAAATATATTCCATGAAAATTTTGATAATAAAACTGTGAGCTCAAACTTTTTTTTAGATTTTTCTTTTTTACTTCCAATTGATGACAACAAAGAAATTATAAATATCACACAGAATACTTTATCAAAAGGCTTTAAAACTTTCTACGACCTGCAATCGCGTTGCTTAAGGTTCAAAGGTATAAATCTCAAATTAACTGCTGCAAATCGCATTAAAAATACGTGTGTATATGTATATTGCCCCGCCAATCGAATATTTTGGTAAATTACTCAGCTTAGAGCTGTTCCCATCGTCAACTTTGCAGGGTAACACCAAATGCTGACAAATAACAATTCCAATAAGCCGCAGTTCTAATTAAACATGACGAGAGATCCTCGAGGGAGGGGAAAACTGCCAAGAGCAGCGACCCGGCACGTCTGTCAATAAACCGGGGAAGACATGAGACATCTGACAGGGCCTATAAATGTACAACTGGGTTCAAGATAGTAGAATAATATTCTACGGTATCATATAAAGGTACAACCCACTCCTTTAAAGAGACTTTACCGAAAGCATAACGATATTTTAAATCCTTTAAAAGTAAGGCCCTTAAAATTTGTATTTTTTAACAGTATCGTCATATAAGTTAAAACTGCTGCTTTTATACGCACTATTGTTTTGAGCACAATTGTGAGCACATATATAATACAATCATATATAGTAGTCATATAGCCCAAGGCGCCTGCTGCTGACACGTTGAAAATTCCATTTTCAAAGCTGAAACGTCTGTTTGTCCCCAATGATTATGCCCGCCTTTCCCACCTGCACCACGTGTCGTATGCGCAATTTGTAAACGCTGAAAATTTGTATTAACGGCATTACACACGCTTTACGAGCAGCCAGGAAAATGGAATAAAAGCCAGAACGAGCCAACAGCGAGCAGGTAACCCACACGGCAACAAAATTTAAGTACTTTTCACTAAAAATAATCTGAAGAAGAACACCAAATAAGTGGAAAGCTATAAAAACAAATTTTTTGAGACTTCTTTAAAATTTATTAAATTAAAATAACATTTTAAGACTGATAGAAACAAGTTTAAAATTCGTGTAAAACTGTATTTCGTCACACCAGAACTTCTAAGATAAATCGTTTTAAAAATATTTTTATAAAATAACCACTTTTTGTTAGGAAACCTTTTGTAAACAATGAGTTTTTTTGTGTTGTTAATTTATTTCTAATAAAATTAAGCAACCTAACGCAGGTAAATAATATTAATAATATACCAATTAGGAGTGTTTGTGCTTTTTCAACTTTATTGTTTGTTGTCCTTATTTTTCAGCAGTGCACCTAAGGTGACAACTAAACGACTGTGAAATTGTATTTGTTTTTTACATTCACTTGGTGCCGGAAAAAATGTGTCACCTCAACTTGAACAGGCCATCAAAAGCAGCATCAGCAGCAAGAAAAGGGAGAAAATAAAATGAACCGAACTTTTCGAGGAAATTTCGTTTTGCCGCAAAACTTTTTCGATGTTTTTCTCAATGGAAAAAAATGATTGAGTGCATACAAAAAATGAAAGCCGGAAAGGTGTACAATAAACTTTTCCCATGACATTCGTGGCCGGCAGTTATGAAGTGTTCACCGGCGGTCCATTGAAAAGCAATTCGAGTTGACAATTGAATGATGGCGGTCAAGTGGCGGAGCGAAAGCATTAAAACTGTCACGGGCCACGCCCACAAGCATGAAAGTCCACCGCCCAAGCGCTTGCTAATTTGGCTTTAATTTCCATTTTAATACGCAATATTCATAATGGGTCCAAGTCAAACAACGATGCGCATGCGTAATATGCGAAAAAAACAAGAAGGAAAAAAGGGGGACGCACTCGTATCATCAGCATTAATATGCAAATCAAAAAATGGGCCCAGCCACGCACTGCATACGTAATTATGCAACCGGAACGCTGAAAAACGGAAACAAGGATTCAGATTCAGATACGTATTCGGATTCAGACGCAGATTCAGCCAAGTTAAAACCAGATGCAGTCAACGGATTTCGCACATACAAACAGTGGGACGCAATTTAGGGTTTTGTGTTTAACTACAAATTGTAAATTTACAATTAAAAAAAGTCTTTAAATATAAGTGTCACATGAGCTAACAAATTATGAGCACCAGCTTTTTTTTATAAATATTTATCAGAAATATAATATAATTTTTATTAAAAATTTATGGAGAAATTCTGAACAACAAATCAAAAATTATTGAATTTGACTAATACAAAATTAAGTAAATTTAACTTAGAGTTTCTTTGACCAAAAGTTTTAATTTTTATAAAAGGTAAGTCCCCTGATACCTCGAGAGGATGCCTTTCTACTGCCACGCCCAACTCGACAGCCCCTGCGACGCCCCCACCTGGCAAGCCCCCTGCCAATGTCCTCATGCATGCCGAGCTGTTTTGACACGGGACAGCGGACAGTGGACAGGGTAGCGCAGGATGGGCAGGGATATGCGGCAGATTGTCAATATATGGTAATTAAATCAGCGCAGATTTTCCCTCTGGATTTTATTTGATTTCACTCAGAGGCCAATGGGAAATTGTGTTAGTGAGAAAATATGCCTTAATATAGCCCTTTATTGACGGAGTTGGGGTGTACCTAGGTAGGTACAATCTTATGGTACCTTAAACCATACCAAGGTAATAACACCTAAGACCAGCTTTTAGCTGACCTGGGTACAGATTTTTATTTATCATAAGAATAAGCGCTTATTGCTAGATCAATGTTAAAACTGTTATATAAATAGAAATAACAAAATCAAAACCATTGTAAGTTGGCAACATTTTCCAGGGTATTGTCACAGTGCCAGCCATTAAAACTTTAACCGCCTGAGAAGGAGCGTGGTGGCACGCCAACCAAATGGTTTTGCCCAGTACCGGAGAAAGTGGAGTGGGAAATTGTGCATGAGCGCCTCAGTGCTCCGCAAGTGCAGGACCAGGAGCCCCTCTAAATGCCGTCCATGTGCAATTGAGAGAACGCTTTCAACTGTCAAGTTTCCCCTGGCAAATGCAAATAATTGACAGGGACTACCGCCATTTCCCATGCCCGAGATCTTGGTTCGTATTCCGGTTCCAATTCGCATTCGCATTTGCATTCGGATTCGGTGGCTTTGTCGTCTATATACATATTTGCTTATTTTCTTGCCTCCTTCAAGCGCCATTAGCAGTGGCAAGCAGCTCCTGGCCAGTTCTTAATTTGGCTATATTTGTTTTTGCCTGCCCTACGGCTTTGTCTTCTTGAAAAAATAAAATAAAGAAATAAAGAAATGGCCGCAACATAATTTCCGCTTTGCTTGCTTTTACCAACTTATTTTCTCTTTTCTTTTTCTTCATTTTGGTTTTTTTGCTTAATTTTCCTACGCTTTTCTTCTAATTTTCATTTGAACTTTTTGGCGGGGGCCAGGAGAAAAATGTTTGGCACGCTTCGTTAGTCGCCCCCCAGCCGGCCTTTTCCTCCTTTTCGGAGGGCGCGAAATTTCCACTTTGTTGGTCTTAATTAAATTGCATCGAGAAGCTGTGGGGATTCGGGGCCTTAGAAGGAAGCACTTAAAGTGCCAAACTCGGCGACACTGCGTCTGATTTTCAATTGCTGTGGCTTCGCTCCGCCAATCGCTCATAATTACAAGTGTTCGCTAACGGCCACGCCCTTCTTCGCCCTCGAAGATAGGGCTCACATCGATTGAAGTTAAGCTGGGACAATGCTGGGCGAAAAGTGGAGGAGTCACATGTCTCAGTAGCGCAGTGAACCGAGTCAGGAATACAACACTTAATGGGAATTCCTGTCAAATGTTCAGGCTGCCAGGGCAAACAGTGGGCCTAAAAAGTCTGCCATTTAAAAAATAAAAATGTGGAAAAGAAGTCATTTATATATTTTTAGACAATTTTTTTAATAGCCTAGACAAATTTGGACATTTAATTTAATGGTTATTTAAGCTATACACACATTTTTCTAAGACTATAAATCCGTTCTTTATAAATTAACCTTTAATAAGATTTATTTATTTTTTTTAATTATTTAAGGCTTTTACAAAATTGTTTAAAACCCAAACAACATTTCTGTAACAACAGAAAATTATTTTTCATTAACATACAATTTATTTTGAAGTTATTCAGAGACTAAAGAGACATAAATATAAATACAAAATAAATACCTAAAGGCTTCTTTTCATATATTTATTATCATATTTATTTTTGATCTTAAATCAATAAAAACATCTGTAACAGCCCGTGTGTAACATATTTGCAAGCGGATTGCCAACGTGCTATTAAATATTCCTCGGGCAGAGTTTTTTTTTTTGGTTTGTGGCGTATGTTGTATACCACATGCAAATTGAGTTTCGCCCTGGTTGGATCGTTTGGCTTGTTTAGCCACAGATTTGCAGCTCGGATGTCACGAATGTCGCAATTGGCCGTTTAATTGAGCGAAAGGTCGACTGAAAAAGGGGGGATTCGGCAGTGAAAGTTAATTAAAATGCTTCGTTGAGTTATTCAGACATTTATTTGCACTCGACTGACGCCATATGAGAAATGCATATTTAATGTGACACCACATAGTATGTGTGCGTGTGTGTGTGTGTGTGTGTGGTTGTGTCTGTTTTGGCTCAACTGCAGTCTGCAGCATTAATTGCTGTTGATGACCTTCGGGAGACGACCTACAAGCGACCTTCGTCTGCCTTTCTTAGCAGCTTCTCCTTCTGGAAACCTATCCCTTGTCGTCCTTGCCCTTCGAC